AACATGTCATCCCTTATGCTACCAGGTTCCCAGGCAGGATGGCATCCTGTTTTCCTCTCTTGATCACTTGGCATTCACCTCTTTACATGTACAACTGGCCACCTTGGGGAGCCGGGTCATAGGGTACAGCAGGAAGAACAATACACAGAGCCCTGGATTCTAATCTAAACTCTCCCACTATTTAGTAAAATAATTCTAGGAACTTGGTGTTAAAAATACTGAAATGAGATCACGAACAAAAAACTTTTGGAAATTACAAAGTGCAACATTTCTGCATAAAGCAGCTCTTTCATCCTTGAGAAACAGTCCTTTGTAACAGTCCTAAAGGTCGTGGTGGGAAGGCCTCTCTTTGGCTCAGACATAATAACTCCAAACAGAGAGGAACTCTGGTGAGATCACAAGAGAATTGACCATTTATGTTTAAAATAATATTTGTGTAAAAGTTAGTTCTCAAAGCTGATTTCCATAATGGTATTTTAAATAGAACTGAACCCATCTGATTTTATTATAAAAAGTTTATAATGCATCCAGAGAGATTTTCCCTCTCCTTTTAATACATGGAATGTTTAAGCCAATGCAGGCAAAGTCACCCCTACCTCCAAATGAGGTGAACATGTTATAAATAAAACAGAATTCAAACCCATGAACACCTGGAAGCCTCTGTACCTCCCTCTTTTCTAAACAGGCCTAAAGCAAAGGTCCAGCTACATTTTCTTGATCCTGATTCCCTGAATTGTCATTTTTAATGGACTTCACATGAAATGATGCCTATGTCGGTCCCAGCAACACCAAGGAAAGGAGGAAATGTGTCATCTTTCTTCTGCTGGCTGGCTCTGCAGCCAGCTAAGGAATGTTCTCCTCAGAGAAGGGCGTGGGCACAGGCAGTCCCACCCCGGCAGGCCCAGGCCCATCCACGCTTAGCATTCTTGACACTGCAGTAAAATGCATGGTGTGGGGCCACACAGACCACTCTTCTTAGCGCAGGGGAAAATGAGTTCAATCAGAATAGCTGGCATTTTTCTCATTTTTGAGATGTCAGATTTTGCATTATTTCAGGGAGAAGGGGAACTTTGGACTCCTGTGTGAGTTTTCATAATACTACTGCACAAACTATAGAACAGTAGAATTCTCATTTCTAAGCTCATGAGTCCCACTCCCCCAAATAGATGTTACATTTTGCAGCCACCCCCCTTATCCTTGGGGGATACATTCCAAGACTTATGGTGAATGCCTAAAACTGTGGATAGTACCAGATGCTAGAGATAACATGAATTCTCCTATACATGTGTACCCATGGTAACATTTAATTTATAAATTAGGCACAGTAAGAGAGTGACAATAATAATAAAATACAACAATGATAAGACACTATAACAAGTTATGCAAATGTGGTCTCTCATCTCTGTCAGTTTCAGAGTATCTTATTGTGCTGTCCTCAGCCTTCTGGTGAGGATGTGAGATGATTAAATGCCTGTGTGATGAGATGAAGTGAGGTGAGCGTCCTAGGCACTGTGATGTGGTGTAAGGCTGCCAGCGACCTTCTGACAGTAGGTCCGAAGGGGGATGGTGAGCTTCCAGACCGAGGTGGACCGTGGGTAACTGTGGGAAGGGGGGAATCTGGAAGCTAAAGTGACTCTGTGAAGATGTTTTCCTGATTTGGCCCCTTGAGTCGTCAGAACAGGGAAGTTTGGGTTGTCTGAATTCTGAGGTTGGGGGCTAGCCTGTGGGCAGGCGGTGCGGGGTCAGTCTGCTCCTGTCCACGGGGGCTGCCTTAGTCCCTTCCCCTCTGTGGCCCAGGAACTGGGCTCTGGCTTTCACCTCATGGCTCCTGCATCCAGTGCCATTTTAAGGAAGCAACAAAGAAGCTAAATGAGAAAAGGAAGCTATAAAGGAGGAAAGGAGGGTAAAGAGCCCAACATCCCTCTGCCCTCATGCCCACGGCCCAGCCCTGCAGGGCTGCTAAGGCAGACACCTCTGTAAACCGATCACTGAGTACTGCAAGCATGTGAACTTCCACTGCACGTGATTCAGCTATGACACCAAATTCTATCTCAGCCCAGAACAGGTTGTTCAAAATAGGATGCGAGCTTATCAATATACTTAGTGCCATGTAAAAGAACACGTGATTTCTTTCTCAGAGTACTGACACTTGACATTCATCTTCATCTCTCCTAACATAGTCTTAAAAAAAAATTCCATCCATGAATGCAGTTTGAATCAATTTATAATTACTGAGATTTGCCACTGTTGTTAGCATTAAAACTAGAAACATGTGGAACTTAAAGGTATGAATTTATTCAACAATGTTTGTTTCACTCAATTTTTTTTTCTGTTGATGAAGGAAGTTCAACTGAGCGTAGTAATGATTGGTCCCCTCTGTGAATCAAGGGGGTATTACCTACTGGGCATGAAAGATGGCCTTTCCCAATTGTTCTCTGAATTTTACTTGTTTAATTTCTAAGCACCAAATACCCAGTGGTAACAGCTTAAGGGAAAACATGGGCAGAAGCAAGTTTTCCTTCTAAGTAATATTCACCTACTAGTAAAATTGGTACCACACCAATTCTTTTAAAATTATTGACTCAGACTATTAGCAAGAGAAACCCTGGCTGAATGTTTTCCTTTAATTAATATACAAGGAACTCAAGGGAATTTATGTCCATAGAGGGGAAGGGAATTGCTATTTTTTTTTAATTAAAAGTCCGTGATATAAATACATGTGGTCTAGGAAAAACATGGAAGTGCCCTTAGAAAGAACAAGACTTAAAACTGGACCATGTCGAAGTTGCCAATACATTGACATTTGGGGAAATAAAGAGGGATTCTCAAGCAGGTCAGTATCTGGGGACATCGTTGGTTATTTTTGTGATGATGGGATGAGAGGGATTAGTGGCATCTATTGGGGAAAGGCCAGGGACATTATTAAACAACTGACCACAGACAGGACAAACCCTGTAACACTGTGCTCTGCCCCAAACATCACGAGTGCTAAGGGCGAGACCCCCTGAGGTAAAGCCCACCGCCCATGTGCGTAGTTAGACATCCACTCAGGCAACAGCCTGGGCTCAACAGGAAACTGTCCGGCCCAGCTCCTAGTTCAGGCGCATGGGTTGGAGAATTAAAATGCAGCAGGACAGGGGAATACAAGTAGCTACTGGCAACCGATGCGACGTGAGGGTGGAGCAGGGGCGGGCAGGAGTCCCTGAGGAGCAGGATACAGGCCTGGGAAGTAGGAGAGGGAGGCACGGTGGAGGGGAGCAGGCAGCAGGCAATGGTGAAACTAGGTACCATGGAAGGGAAGGAGGTCACGGCCACCTCAGGGGTCCCAGGTTACCAGCTACACATGCTCACAGTCAGGCACTGTGTAGGTGTCAACAAAGTCTGATGCTCGGTTTCCAAAGTTGAATGGTGCCTCCTGGTGTACCCACAGACCCAGGAAGAGGGGAGAGCCGAAGTACCAGAAGGAGGATGAGGACAGGAGAGAAGGGAGAGGAAAGCAAAAGGGGGAAGGAAGTGTGGGAGAACAAGGCCATTGGACAGTGCCCAGGGTCCCTGACGGCACCCGTGTCACCAGGCAACAGGGACAGTGTTGGCATTAGAACCACAGAAGGAAAGGCCAATGCTTTTCCATCCATGGATCTTGCTGGTAAAAGAATGAGAAGTCGCTTTTTCCACCTGCCCCCAGTAAACGTGCTGGCCACACTTCACGCCACACGGGGGTCTTCAAAGAGCTCCTGGACTCTGGCGAGTGAGTAGCAGATGCAGAAATACATCAGGCTTATCAAGACGTGTAAACATCACAGGGAGGAGAAAGAAAGCCACAGGAAAAACACCTTTGAAAAGCTTTTATAAATTATTTATACCAACTCAGTAAGAAGAATCCATTATTATTTATTCTGGATGGTCTTTTAAGAGGCAGTATTCTGAGTCTCTGTAAGTGGGTGCTACCTTTAAATCTCCTGTGTCTCTGGGCTCCAATATCTTTCAGTAAGTAGTCCTCATCAATTGCGTCAAGTGCTTTCCTGGCCGAGACCGCACTGTGCTCACCTCTCCTCCTTCTTTCTAGTTCTCCATTCAGTTTTAGGAAACCCAGTAACTAAATTCGCTGAGACCTGCCTGCCTCCTTGTCCAAACTCAAAACTCAGTAAAGACAGAGAACTAGGCGATGAAACTGGGTAAATGGAAGAGCATACCAGTCTTTTCCAAATCCAGACGGTGTGACGACCTTTAACCAGTGCCCTCTGCACTTGCTGTATTTTCCCCTAAGCTCTTGGTTCCGGGGCCATGCTGCACAGGACCTCTCTGTGGCTCCCCGTGTATCTGCTTTCCCCTATAGCCCCAGGAATTCCCACTGGCAGGGCCCATCAAGACCATCACTAACAAGAGACAGGATGAGCCCATGTGCCAGAGGCAGGAGAATTTCCACGAGATACTCCAGTGTAATCTCAGAAGCACAGACTTCCTCGAGATGAGGAACCCTGCCTCTTATTGAGCCAGCCGACTGCGTGAAAATGGGCCTGTGATGTGCACAGTGCTCAAGAAATGCAGTCCCAACCTACCCTATAATCTGCTCCTTCCTTAGGAACTTGGAGAGGAGAGAGCTTATTTTAAAGTTATGCTAAGAGAAATTATAAAGAGATCTCAAATCATATTTGATATAATTTTATTTATCACATAATTACCTTACAGAGTCAGCTGTAAGGTATAATTAGAAGAGATTCAAGTTTGATTTTTAAAATTCAAGCTATTCTTCTAAATTAAAGTCCATCAATTTCATATCTTAAGTCTAATGACTGAGAGTGCAAATTAGATCTGACCTTATGTTCTCCATCCTTTACGGTAACTGACTACTGTTAAAACCTTGAAAACTTACTGTACACAGTTTGAATCTTGCATTTTTTCCCACTTATAGGCATCACACTCAGGAACAGCCTCCTTATTGAAACGCTTCAGGTACCATCCTTCCCCCCATCATGATGCCCCCAGGGTATCCTCCTTACCTTCGACTTGCCCTTACTGTAACAGGCCTTCTTGGTGGCTTCATCGCATTCCCACTGCACAGCCTGCAGGGAACACCAACAGGACAGCGATTATTACAGCTCTGACTGAATCAAAGGGGAAAAATGCAAGGCACTGGAAACCAGGTCAGGGAATGTGGGCGCACCTGCGGCTCCAACATCTTCACACTAACTCAGCATTTACAACAAATACATGAAATTCAGTCACATTGGGCTTATATTTAGATTTCAAATTGAAGCATTTCAAAGGACTTGCCCCCTAAGACTTTGCATTTCAGCCGTAATAGTATGATATTTACATCTAGTCGCTGGACAAGAGGCATGTGCAATGTGCGGACAGTTGCTGCATTGGTAACAAAAGCCATTACATCAGTGAAATTACAGATAGATCCAAATGACACTTAGAAGAGAAGCCTGGAATCAAAGGATCGAAATACTCGTTTAGACATTTGTATTTTATTTTACTAGCATGGTATTTACCAATATTCATACACAATGAAGGAAGAACGATGTTGCCTACCCTGACCCCCAAGATACCTATCTAAGTGGTGACCAGCCAATAAAATAAATAGCTCCTGGGGAGGTCGCATCTACTCTTCCCTCTAACACCAGCTATATTCATACTGGTATCAGCTCTGACTACATGTTCAGAGCCACAACTTTTGAATATTTTTTCTCAGACTTTCCAAATCTAACTTATGCTGATTAATCTGATATGCGTACTTCTACATCTGACACTAATTCACAAATGGAATCTGGAATTAGTTAAGATCACATATGGCATTTACTTCATCGGAAGAAACGACGCCTGCCAACAGTAATGGCCTATAGGCTGAGGCTGTGAACCATTTCTGAACACATTTAGGTCTCTAAGTTGTTTCTTTTGCAATTGTGCTATTGCAATTATGTTCTATCTTACTTATTAGGGTTGGATTTCTGAAGTATTCAGGATTTCAGAAGAACCAGTAAAATTATGAACAGAAAAAAGTTTAAGCAAGGGACAATTTTCTGTGAAGTGGACTAATGTTAAATGATGACCCAAACTAAGCCAAAAATAAATTAACACCCAATAGTATCAAGGAGAATAATGGCTTCACTCTTACTTCTAGAGCAATTTTTTTTCTAATTCTCCTAAACCTAGGAGAGTAACAAAGTCCTGCTAATGCCATTATCTGCTATCTGCTGTCCTCCAAAGAAAGTTACATATGAGAGATGAAAACATAATACACTGCATCTTGTATAACTTCTCTTACTTGGCCAATATGAGTCCATAAGAAAAGTATTCTAGAGAGAACCATTTCTGTGTCTTTCAAACAGAAACCGTATAATTTTTTCCATGGTGCAGACTGAGAGATTTTTGTCAGTGTCAACATCTGATAAGAGAATGTGTTCATTCCTTTCAGGATGTTTCCCTGTTCATAATGTTTAATGCAAACAATAAAGTCACAGATCATCAGCATGTGATGCAAACAAATGACCCAAGTTCCCCACTAGGATGACAAAGACTTTCATAAGAAGTGATGACACCTCCAGAGACAAAGAGCTTCACATACAGTGGCTTAACTATGTTTCCCGTGAAGCACAGATCAAGCAAGTAGACTGCTATTATTCTGACTGTACAGTTAAGATCATATATGGCATTTATTTCATAGGAAGAAATGCCACCTGCCAACAGTAATGGCCTATAGGCTGAGGCCATTCTTAGAGCTCTTTATAAAGCTCACTTCATTGTTTCTATTTCAATAAAGATCCCATGCCCTTGCCCTTAGTTAAGCTCAAAACAGAATGGACACACTATAACATATTCTTTAACAGAGTAAACTCATTGTAACTTTGATGTTATCTTACCATGAGGCGTTTTAGTGTTAGTGTCAGGGAGAGGCTTTAGTGTTACCTAATGACTAGGGAACTTCACAGTGAAAGGTGGTGGGTGAGGAGACATACACAGTGGCTCTCTTGTTGGTCTAGTGATTTTGTTGTTACAGAATAATACTCTCTTCAGTGAGCTGAAGACCGATGCAGAGTGGGTTAGTCCCAGGGCTGTGAGAAGAATATTTATCAAATGCCATCAAAATTATTCAAATCCTACTGCTGAAATGGCAAACAGCTTCCCAAGTCTGCCTACTGCCCGAGTAGCCTTTACATTTTCAAGATAAATATTGGCCAAGGATTGAAAGCAGAAAGTAATAGAAAAAAGAATGTGAGTCTCTGAAAATATTTCATTACTTTATCCAGTTCACCAAGAAAGAGCAACTGCTCACATGAGTTCAGCAAACCAATAGAAAATGGGACAAAGCTTACAGGTTTTTCTGAAGACAGGAGCAAAGTTACTTTCCTGAGGACTTGTTATTACAGGATCACCAGCTTTCCAATAATATGCAAATCCAGAATTAATTAAAGATCATGACTATATAGATTTTCTGTTGATTCATTTCCTACCTGGATGAGGGCAGGATAAAGGGAAATTATACTAAGAATAGAACTGACCTACCTATCGTGGGGCTGAACAAATATTATGGGATGTCACAGAATTTGAAAAAGAATGGAGTGGGAAAATGTGTCTTTCCCAGATTGGCCCAAAATTGGATGTTCAGGATTAACCCCAAGTCTACCCTTCCATTCTCTCGGTGAACTAGACTTCACGCATTTGAGAACTTGGCAGCTGTGGTAGAAGCACTCACTGGAGACAGATACACACATTACTGGGACTCTCCTTCCCGGATCTTATTTCCCACAGTTACTCGGTATACTGCTTGAAATTAGGTTATGTTGTAACCTGGTTGTTACTTTTATTTCTCAAAATTTGGTCTCATCAGTTAAACTCCTCTTCATCAAGCCTCCTTGCTCTATCCTCAAAGGAGATTTTGTTTACTGTTATTTTATCATAATTTTGGAACAAATTCCACTAGTGATTTGTAAGACATCTTTCTGATTAACTTCTTTTTAAGGCACTTTTCTACCTATGCAAACTTATCCTTATTACAGTCAAAACAAACGCTAACGCATCCTACGTTCTACATTTCAGATGTCAATACACAGTCATCACCCTATCTCCTGAAACTCTTTTTTTTAAATTGAATTTTTGTCATCTCTTGTCTTTTTCTTTTGCATAACACTCCAGTAGAGAAAGGGAATCTTCATTGTCTATTCACTTCTGCATTTAGCCTTCATTATATTTTTCAGTAGCAGACATGCAGCAGTGCTAATGTGGCTACTTTGATATCCGAAGTCTATACAGGGTAGGCAAGGAGTTTGGAACACCTACATTTTAAAAGACAGGAAGTTTCCTGTTTTTGGTACATTTCTTTTTTATCTGTAAATACATATAAAGAACACATGTGCTATTCAACCACTTAACAAAGTTTTCCTTCATGTACATTCATGTAATAAATATTCATTAAGTACTTATCAAGTGCCAGATACTGCACTAGATAATGGCTGATGGAAGAAAAAATGGACATTTAGATAATATTGCATGTATCAGATAATTGGTTTATAATAAAATATAAGTGTCTTCCATTAGCCTAGCCAACATCACCCTAAATTAGAGAAAATCCAACAGCCATCCTTTTCATTGCTACAGAAGCCATGCTTATCTCAGATCAGAGTACATGTGAACTTACAACATCATCAGCTTTTAAGAAGTCACAGTGTTACAGACGGACCTAAAAGGAAATGGAGTAGGGTTACAGAAAATCATTTTATATCCACAAAAACACTGGGGATGCGAGGAAGAACTTGCTATTTCAAGATACAGTACACACCTCACCATGATGTGCACACACATGCTCAAGTGATGATAAATGAAGCCATGATCTCAGGGGTAAATCAGATGTGAGAAAAAAATAGATGGGCTCTGTTTCTGTACATGTTACATACATATAAATCCACAGTTCTCAGAAGTATATAAACAAAGCTGTGTATTATCACATTTCACAGCAAGAGAAGTTAATTAGACAGGCACCAGCAACGGCAGATACTTTTCATGAAACTGAAGAGAACAACATTCTAGGCAGATGGGCCACTACTCTTTCAGCAGATGGCTTTGCTAATTAGATACTGGCAAAAGATAACATTTAAAAAACTAGTTTAATTACACAGTGCCAAAAATTAACAGCCACCTAAGGGCTTTTTCTTACATGTTTGCATTCATACTTTTATGTAATGTATTTCCGTGAAATGCTGTGGAATGTTAAATTGTCATGGCAATTATAAACAAATTGCTAGGAAATGTGAGAACACATCTTTGTTCAAAACAGAGGCAAATGCAAACGAGCTGGGACTTGAAATGATTGTTGATTTTTATGTGACTCAAATAAAAGTGTCAATCTAGTTGTCCTTAAACGTAGACATCTTCACTAATTACCCTAAGTGGCCACGCATAACAGGTTCAAAACAAGCTGCACTTGAGATGGAATAGTGGGTGTTGAAAGACACAAAGAGGAAAATAGTTTAATCACTTGGGAAGGATTTGTTCAACATTCCTCTCTGCCTTTACATTTTAGTGGATATCATGTATTTGTTCACTCTTAATTTTAATTTGCAAACACCTGCATTTCTGTACATGGTAAATGTAGGCAAGTCCATTTCATTCTTACTGGTGACTTCAAATCAGAGAACTGTTTAAGGGAGCTTTAGTTTATCACCTGACTACTGACTTTGGAGATTCTCATTGCATGGACATCATCCAAAATGAGAGATAACCTTAACCTTAGAAAGTCCCATAAAAATGTGTTAACCATTTTTAAAAACCTTACCGAGTGTTCTTTCCACATAGTAACACAAATCAAACTTACTTTGACCACTGTAGTGGAGTTCCCAACTTGTTAAATGCTCATTAACCTTTTTGTTTCTTAAACTGAGGGCCACTTGTTACATTGAAGAGAGAGTGAATTCGATTTGCAGGATTGTTATAACAAAGCGCCACAAACTTTGTGGCTTCAAACAAGAGAAATGCACTTGCTCAGAGTTCCCACGGCTCGAGGTCCGCCATCAGGTGGGCAAGTTGGTTCCTGGGAATCTCCAAAGAACCACCTGCTCCCTGC